TCGCTGAGATATTGCCGTATCGAGGCATCGGAAATCATGTCTTCGTGCGGCACAAGATAGGTTGACACTTATCTCAAGTGGAAGTATCCTCGGGCGCATCGTACTCCATATTCGATCCTCCTCTATGATATTGCTTTAGATTAGCTCATCAAGAGTAACTGCTTGACTGTTCCATAGAAAGACTGTAAATGAGGTAAGATGGGAAACGCTAGACAGTCGACTCATCCATTTTGTGTTTGACCACTTTTCTTTTTGGATTCTCTTGTCAGAAGTGGTGCTCCTCTCTACTGTTGCTTTGAATCGAGAAAATTCGGCGAGTCAGCTATTTGTGTTATCACTCACCTGTTGTTTTGGCCCAGACCTCCATGGCCTAACCTCCAGACCTCCATGGCTTTTTCATTATGTCTCCATGAGCTGGGCGTTTTGAAGAATGCACTCGTTGAAAGGAAAGTCGCGTCAGGAAAGGTCAGTCATTTGAAGCTTGGCGATTCCTCAAACCGACACACTCAATAGTTGTCAATTTTGGCAGTGCACTACCGCCTTGCAGCTTTGGGTGCTGGCCTCCCTGGCGAGGTTTTGATGAAGCAGTTCATTTCCAGTAGAGATCAAAAGCTCCTAATTGCTTACGGCCTCGTACAGAGTGTAGAGATGCATGAACCGCGAACATGTCCAAGATGTTCTTCGATGAGTACAGGCAAGATTTCGCCTCATTGTTCCATCGTTGTGAAAGCTTTCTAACATCGCTGATCAGCTCACCAGGAAAGGTCAGCCTGGCCATTTCCAATGAGCTGCACACCGTTGTACGCGTCTTGGGACAGTGAACTCAAATCTACCTTCAGAATTTGCGGAACGATTCTCTGAACGGAGTTATGGAGGGTTTTATCCCCGCGTGGTCGTTTCACATGCTATCGCGAGGAAACGTGGAAGCGTCTTTACATTTATGTATGGAGTCGTTCCGTTTTTTTTGCACTTGTCCAAAAACATGGCCGACAAAGCTTCTAACATCTCTGCTCGCCTGCACTACCCTGTAAGGGAACCTGCGACCAGTTTTTTTCGAAAGTGTAGACCCATTGTGGCCTGAAAGAGTGCTTGTGCTTGTACCCCTCGTAACACATGTCACAAGGGTTTTTGCAATGAAATACCATCATATTCATGTTCAGCGGGTCAAATTACCCCTGGGGACAAGTTTCTAGCCGAATCTGATATTTCGACCTCACTTGGAAAATGTGGGCTATTCCATGGGTAATTAGCAGCAGATTGGAGCTCACCTACCATCGATGACTGGTCTCGGGATGGAATTTCTCCCGGTAATCAGGAAAATGATGCAGACGGCACGAATAAGTAAGCCAGGTATTGTTCTTTGCGAAAAGACATGACTGAAGAGTTATTTCAGTTCGAAGACCAGTCATCACCAGTATGCTAGTCATAGTATCGCTGTTGGCTATCAGTCAGCCATGACTATCCATACCATTTTTTCGAAGTTGAGTCAGAACCTCAGATTTTGCTGAGGTGACGTCTCCAGGGGTTATTCGACCTTCTGAAGAGCGCTGTGAGTTGTGCTACTGGTGTAAACGCCTCGGCGCCAGCGCGTCCGGAAGAAGAAAAACAGTAAAGAAAAACCTCCATAACCTTGTCAAGAAGTCACCGTGTCAAGATGAGTACAGTGATGTGCATCTCATTGCAAATGGACCGGGCTGACCTGTTGACCTTTCATGTTCCTCTTCTCCCTACGTTAGTCGCGGCCGGTCGCAAGGGTCCGTTTCTTATCTACACACGTCGCTCTTGTTCCGATCCACCTGCATCTTCTCTGTGCTTTCACTTCAGTGATGGTCCTTCCTTGATGGAGCAAGAAGTTCACCGTGTCAAGATGAGTACAGTGATGTGCATCTCATTGCAAATGGCCGGGCTGACCTGTTGACCTTTCATGGTCAACTATGAATAATCCGCTATGTTGGGCTGTTTCTGTGCGTAGGTGTGCATATAACCGAAAGAAAATAGGTTTCCTCGATACAGCCACAGAGAACCCAAACTTAGAGGTGACAAAAGTGATATAATGGGCGCAGCATGACGGTTGAAGTAGAATTGTAGTGACTGATAAGAGCTGGCGAGACAGACCAGAAAGGGAAATTCGGAATTCAACGTGGGTCACAACAACAATGGGACGCTGGCTCTATCGGGGTGAGATAGAGACCGATCACCGGTGAAATAGTGACTCAAAGGGCTGATAAAAATGTGAATGTGAAAAAATGCCTTCCGTTTTTTTACACTCACCTAAACTAAACTGTCACTCAAGCAGCATGCAGAGTTACTTTAAGCGCAGAACCAAGGCCATGAGATCGGGGACATGTCCGATACAATATCAATGAACAGCGCCCGCGATCGACTTTGGCAGGTTTTAGGGGTCAGATTTGCTAGAACAGGTGGCAAATGAAGCATTAATCAAAAAAAGTAGGAAAAAAGGTGTGCAAGAACATGAAATAAGACCCTATTCAATTTAAGGCATCTGGACGAGTTTCGCAGATTTTGGGTGAGTTCTCCAAAACACGTCGCCGCCTCGTTGCGGCTAATTCTCATGAGGCCACTACCTAGGTTATCTTATCTAATCTAATTAATCCACGCTGGCATTGATAATCGATGTGTCTATGAGTTAATCTCTCTATCAACGTACGAAACGAACGCTAGGAATTTAGCGATAATCAATGCTAACGAGGGTTGATGGGAATCCAGTTGAAGCGGCATTAACACGACAGGCGGGGTCAGCTTATCATTGTTGACTCCGCCTTCCGTCTATCAATCGATTTCGAGTCGCAGGAGTGGGATATCCTCTATGGTTGCGGACTCCGCGATCTTGTACAGTACAGGGTTTTTTCACCTTGGTTGATCGCGGACGCTGCCTTTAAGATTCATCATGTGACGCGCGGCGCTGCGCGTCAGCGAAACTTGTCAGGGCAGACACTAACCCTCCATGGGTTTTTTTTTCGCCAAGCATTTCACATTACCAACTGAGCTAACGAGGCTCCAGCAGCGCTTCGCTGAGTGGCCGTACATTTTCTAAAGCAACCACGACATTAGTTTTTATCACATATGACTGAGTACTTCTCGTAAATGCGTATTCTCTACGGTCGACCAAAATATCAAGCCCCGTAGGGGACTCGAACCCCTGACCGTTAGATTAAAAGTCTAACGCTCTACCAACTGAGCTAACGAGGCTCCAGCAGCGCTTCGCTGAGTGGCTCGTTCATTTTCTAAACAACCACACATTAAGTTTTTATTCACATTATGTACTTGAAGTACTTCTCGCTAAATGTCGTCTATTCGTTCATACGGGTCGGACCAAAATTATTTCAAGCCCCGTAGCGGCGACTCGAACCCTGACCGTTAGGATATAAAAAGTCAACGCGCTCTACCAACTGAGCTAACGAGGCTCCAGCAGCGCTTCGCTGAGTGGCCGTACATTTTCTAAAGCAACCACGACATTAGTTTTTATCACATATGACTGAGTACTTCTCGTAAATGCGCATTCTCTACGGTCGACCAAAATATCAAGCCCCGTAGGGGACTCGAAACCCTGACGTTAGATTAAAAGCGTCTAACGCCTCTACAACTTGAGAACGAGGCCTCCAGCTCAGACGGCTTCGCGCTGAGTGGCCGGTGACATTTTCTAAAGCACCACGACATTAGTTTGTATCACATCATGACTGCAAATAACTTCGTCGGTAAATGCGTGCGTATTCTCTACGGTCGACCAAAATATCAAGCCCCGTAGGGGACTCGAACCCCTGACCGTTAGATTAAAAGTCTAACGCTCTACCAACTGAGCTAACGAGGCTCCAGCAGCGCTGTCGTCCTGAGCTTGGCCGTACATTTTCTAAAGCAACCACGACATTGGTTTTTATCACATATGACTGAGTACTTCTCGTAAATGCGTATTCTCTACGGTCGACCAAAATATCAAGCCCCGTAGGGGACTCGAACCCCTGACCGTTAGATTAAAAGTCTAACGCTCTACCAACTGAGCTAACGAGGCTCCAGCAGCGCTTCGCTGAGTGGCCGTACATTTTCTAAAGCAATCACGACATTAGTTTTTATCACATATGACTGAGTACTTCTCGTAAATGCGTATTCTCTACGGTCGACCAAAATATCAAGCCCCGTAGGGGACTCGAACCCTGACCGTTAGATTAAAAGGTTCTTAACGCCTTCGTACCACTGAGGCTAAACGACGCTCAGCAGCGCTTCGTCTGAGTTGGCCCGATACATTTTCTAAAGCAACCACGACATTAGTTTTTATCACATATGACTGAGTACTTCTCGTAAATGCGTATTCTCTACGGTCGACCAAAATATCAAGCCCCGTAGGGGACTCGAACCCCTGACCGTTAGATTAAAAGTCTAACGCTCTACCAACTGAGCTAACGAGGGCTCCAGCAGCGCTTCGCTGAGTGGCCGTACATTTTCTAAAGCAATCACGACATTAGTTTTTATCACATATGACTGAGTACTTCTCGTAAATGCGTATTCTCTACGGTCGACCAAAATATCAAGCCCCGTAGGGGACTCGAACCCCTGACCGTTAGATTAAAAGTCTAACGCTCTACCAACTGAGCTAACGAGGCTCCAGCAGCGCTTCGCTGAGTGGCCGTACATTTTCTAAAGCAATCACGACATTAGTTTTTATCACATATGACTGAGTACTTCTCGTAAATGCGTATTCTCTACGGTCGACCAAAATATCAAGCCCCGTAGGGGACTCGAACCCCTGACCGTTAGATTAAAAGTCTAACGCTCTACCAACTGAGCTAACGAGGCTCCAGCAGCGCTTCGCTGAGTGGCCGTACATTTTCTAAAGCAACCACGACATTAGTTTTTATCACATATGACTGAGTACTTCTCGTAAATGCGTATTCTCTACGGTCGACCAAAATATCAAGCCCCGTAGGGGACTCGAACCCCTGACCGTTAGATTAAAAGTCTAACGCTCTACCAACTGAGCTAACGAGGCTCCAGCAGCGCTTCGCTGAGTGGCCGTACATTTTCTAAAGCAATCACGACATTAGTTTTTATCACATATGACTGAGTACTTCTCGTAAATGCGTATTCTCTACGGTCGACCAAAATATCAAGCCCCGTAGGGGACTCGAACCCCTGACCGTTAGATTAAAAGTCTAACGCTCTACCAACTGAGCTAACGAGGCTCCAGCAGCGCTTCGCTGAGTGGCCGTACATTTTCTAAAGCAATCACGACATTAGTTTTTATCACATATGACTGAGTACTTCTCGTAAATGCGTATTCTCTACGGTCGACCAAAATATCAAGCCCCGTAGGGGACTCGAACCCCTGACCGTTAGATTAAAAGTCTAACGCTCTACCAACTGAGCTAACGAGGCTCCAGCAGCGCTTCGCTGAGTGGCCGTACATTTTCTAAAGCAACCACGACATTAGTTTTTATCACATATGACTGAGTACTTCTCGTAAATGCGTATTCTCTACGGTCGACCAAAATATCAAGCCCCGTAGGGGACTCGAACCCCTGACCGTTAGATTAAAAGTCTAACGCTCTACCAACTGAGCTAACGAGGCTCCAGCAGCGCTTCGCTGAGTGGCCGTACATTTTCTAAAGCAATCACGACATTAGTTTTTATCACATATGACTGAGTACTTCTCGTAAATGCGTATTCTCTACGGTCGACCAAAATATCAAGCCCCGTAGGGGACTCGAACCCCTGACCGTTAGATTAAAAGTCTAACGCTCTACCAACTGAGCTAACGAGGCTCCAGCAGCGCTTCGCTGAGTGGCCGTACATTTTCTAAAGCAACCACGACATTAGTTTTTATCACGTATGACTGAGTACTTCTCGTAAATGCGTATTCTCTACGGTCGACCAAAATATCAAGCCCCGTAGGGGACTCGAACCCCTGACCGTTAGATTAAAAGTCTAACGCTCTACCAACTGAGCTAACGAGGCTCCAGCAGCGCTTCGCTGAGTGGCCGTACATTTTCTAAAGCAATCACGACATTAGTTTTTATCACATATGACTGAGTACTTCTCGTAAATGCGTATTCTCTACGGTCGACCAAAATATCAAGCCCCGTAGGGGACTCGAACCCCTGACCGTTAGATTAAAAGTCTAACGCTCTACCAACTGAGCTAACGAGGCTCCAGCAGCGCTTCGCTGAGTGGCCGTACATTTTCTAAAGATAAAAAAAAAAAATAAAAAAAAATGAAAAAAAAAAACAAAACAAGCAACCACGACATTAGTTTTTATCACATATGACTGAGTACTTCTCGTAAATGCGTATTCTCTACGGTCGACCAAAATATCAAGCCCCGTAGGGGACTCGAACCCCTGACCGTTAGATTAAACAGTACTAACACGCTCTACCAACTGAGCTAACGAGGCTCCAGCAGCGCTTCGCTGAGTGGCCGTACATTTTCTAAAGCAACCACGACATTAGTTTTTATCACATATGACTGAGTACTTCTCGTAAATGCGTATTCTCTACGGTCGACCAAAATATCAAGCCCCGTAGGGGACTCGAACCCCTGACGTAGTATTAAAGTCGTAACGCTCTACCACTGACAGCTAACGAGGCTCCAGCAGCGCTTCGCTGAGTGGCCGTACATTTTCTAAAGCAACCACGACATTAGTTTTTATCACATATGACTGAGTACTTCTCGTAAATGCGTATTCTCTACGGTCGACCAAAATATCAAGCCCCGCGTAGGGGCGCGAGCGATGACTCGAACCCCTGACCGTATAGATTAAAGTCTAACGCGTCTACTCCAAAAACTGGAAGGGCGGGGGCTTAAACGATGGGCTCCAAGAAGCACTTCGCTGGAGTGGCGCGTACATTTTCTAAGCAACGACAGCATTGTTTTTTTATCACATATGACTGAGTACTTCTCGTAAATGCGTATTCTCTACGGTCGACCAAAATATCAAGCCCCGTAGGGGACTCGAACCCCTGACCGTTAGATATAAAAAGTCCTAAACGCTCTACAACTGAGCTAACGAGGCTCCAGCAGCGCTTCGCTGAGTGGCCGTACATTTTCTAAAGCAATCACGACATTAGTTTTTATCACATATGACTGAGTACTTCTCGTAAATGCGTATTCTCTACGGTCGACCAAAATATCAAGCCCCGTAGGGGACTCGAACCCCTGACCGTTAGATTAAAAGTCTAACGCTCTACCAACTGAGCTAACGAGGCTCCAGCAGCGCTTCGCTGAGTGGCCGTACATTTTCTAAAGCAACCACGACATTAGTTTTTATCACATATAGACTGAGTACTTCTGTTAAATGCGTATTTCATTCTCTACGGGCTTCGACCAAAAATATCAAGCCCGTAGGCGGGGACTCGAACCGCCTGCACGTATAGAAATTAAAAGGTCTAAACGCTCTACCAACTTGAGTAACGAGGCATCCAGGCAGACGCTTCGCTGGTGGCTACATTTTCTAAAGCAACCACGACATTAGTTTTTATCACATATGACTGAGTACTTCTCGTAAATGCGTATTCTCTACGGTCGACCAAAATATCAAGCCCCGTAGGGGACTCGAACCCCTGACCGTTAGATTAAAAGTCTAACGCTCTACCAACTGAGCTAACGAGGCTCCAGCAGCGCTTCGCTGAGTGGCCGTACATTTTCTAAAGCAATCACGACATTAGTTTTTATCACATATGACTGAGTACTTCTCGTAAATGCGTATTCTCTACGGTCGACCAAAATATCAAGCCCCGTAGGGGACTCGAACCCCTGACCGTTAGATTAAAAGTCTAACGCTCTACCAACTGAGCTAACGAGGCTCCAGCAGCGCTTCGCTGAGTGGCCGTACATTTTCTAAAGCAACCACGACATTAGTTTTTATCACATATGACTGAGTACTTCTCGTAAATGCGTATTCTCTACGGTCGACCAAAATATCAAGCCCCGTAGGGGACTCGAACCCCTGACCGTTAGATTAAAAGTCTAACGCTCTACCAACTGAGCTAACGAGGCTCCAGCAGCGCTTCGCTGAGTGGCCGTACATTTTCTAAAGCAACCACGACATTAGTTTTTATCACATATGACTGGCATATTCTCGTAAATGCGTATTCTCTACGGTCGACCAAAATATCAAGCCCCGTAGGGGACTCGAACCCCTGACCGTTAGATTAAAAGTCTAACGCTCTACCAACTGAGCTAACGAGGCTCCAGCAGCGCTTCGCTGAGTGGCCGTACATTTTCTAAAGCAACCACGACATTAGTTTTTATCACATATGACTGAGTACTTCTCGTAAATGCGTATTCTCTACGGTCGACCAAAATATCAAGCCCCGTAGGGGACTCGAACCCCTGACCGTTAGATTAAAAGTCTAACGCTCTACCAACTGAGCTAACGAGGCTCCAGCAGCGCTTCGCTGAGTGGCCGTACATTTTCTAAAGCAACCACGACATTAGTTTTTATCACATATGACTGAGTACTTCTCGTAAATGCGTATTCTCTACGGTCGACCAAAATATCAAGCCCCGTAGGGGACTCGAACCCCTGACCGTTAGATTAAAAGTCTAACGCGCTCTACCAACTGAGCTAACGAGGCTCCCCCCAGCAGCGTCGATTCGCTTGAGTGGCCGTACATTTTCTAAAGCAACCACGACATTAGTTTTTATCACATATGACTGAGTACTTCTCGTAAATGCGTATTCTCTACGGTCGACCAAAATATCAAGCCCCCCGTTTAAGGCGGACTCGGAACCCCCTGATCGCTTAAGATTAAAAGTCTATACGCTGCTACCAACTGATCGCTAACGCAGGCCTCCACAGCGAGCGGATTTCGGCTGAGTGGCCTGTAATTTTCTAAAAGAGCAACCTACGACATTAGGTTTTTAATCAACTTATGACTGAGAGTACCTTCTCGTAACATGGTTATATCTCTACGCGTGACCAAAATATCAAGCCCACGTAGGCGGAACTCGAACCCCTGACCGTTAGATTAAAAGTCTAACGCTCTACCAACTGAGCTAACGAGGCTCCAGCAGCGCTTCGCTGAGTGGCCGTACATTTTCTAAAGCAACCACGACATTAGTTTTTATCACATATGACTGAGTACTTCTCGTAAATGCGTATTCTCTACGGTCGACCAAAATATCAAGCCCCGTAGGGGACTCGAACCCCTGACCGTTAGATTAAAAGTCTAACGCTCTACCAACTGAGCTAACGAGGCTCCAGAAGCCACTTCGCTGAGTGGCCGTACATTTTCTAAAGCAACCACGACATTAGTTTTTATCACATATGACTGAGTACTTCTCGTAAATGCGTATTCTCTACGGTCGACCAAAATATCAAAAGCCCCGTAGGGGACTCGAACCCCTGACCGTTAGATTAAAAGTCTAACGCTCTACCAACTGAGCTAACGAGGCTCCAGCAGCGCTTCGCTGAGTGGCCGTACATTTTCTAAAGCAACCACGACATTAGTTTTTATCACATATGACTGAGTACTTCTCGTAAATGCGTATTCTCTACGGTCGACCAAAATATCAAGCCCCGTAGGGGACTCGAACCCCTGACCGTTAGATTAAAAGTCTAACGCTCTACCAACTGAGCTAACGAGGCTCCAGCAGCGCTTCGCTGAGTGGCCGTACATTTTCTAAAGCAATCACGACATTAGTTTTTATCACATATGACTGAGTACTTCTCGTAAATGCGTATTCTCTACGGTCGACCAAAATATCAAGCCCCGTAGGGGACTCGAACCCCTGACCGTTAGATTAAAAGTCTAACGCTCTACCAACTGAGCTAACGAGGCCATCAAGACAGCGATTCGCTGAGTGGCCGTACATTTTCTAAAGCAACCACGACATTAGTTTTTATCACATATGACTGAGTACTTCTCGTAAATGCGTATTCTCTACGGTCGACCAAAATATCAAGCCCCGTAGGGGACTCGAACCCCTGACCGTTAGATTAAAAGTCTAACGCTCTACCAACTGAGCTAACGAGGCTCCAGCAGCGCTTCGCTGAGTGGCCGTACATTTTCTAAAGCAACCACGACATTAGTTTTTATCACATATGACTGAGTACTTCTCGTAAATGCGTATATTCTCTACGGGTCGACCAATAATATCAAGCCCTCGTAGCGCCGACTCGAACCCCTGACCGTTAGATTAAAAGTCTAACGCTCTACCAACTGAGCTAACGAGGCTCCAGCAGCGCTTCGCTGAGTGGCCGTACATTTTCTAAAGCAATCACGACATTAGTTTTTATCACATATGACTGAGTACTTCTCGTAAATGCGTATTCTCTACGGTCGACCAAAATATCAAGCCCCGTAGGGGACTCGAACCCCTGAGAGCGATTAGCATTAAAATATAACGGAGCGTCTACCAAACTGAGCTAACGATGGCTCCAGCAGGCGCTCGCTTGAGTGGCCGTAACATTTTCTAACAGCAATAACGACATTAGTTTTTAGTAACACCATGATGACTAGTACTTTTTCCGTAAATTGCGTATCTCCTTTATTACTAGATTTGCGATCCATAGTCATTTAAATCATTAGCTTCGGGAAAAATATGAGTAGCACACAAATATGGCATGTGAAATACGTGCTCTTGTCATGAGTGTCTTACTCAATTTATAGCGTAAAGGAAAGATGATGGAAAAACAGGAAAGACCATATGATCAATGGGAATGAAATCGTTCTGATATGATGAGGAAAGTGAAGAGTAGAAATCAGATTGGACCAATGTATGGCAATGTTATCGAATTCATAAGACATTACAAGCAACAAGAAAAGAAAGAAGTTTATGAAAGAATGTAATACAAGGAAAACAAGGCTCAGCAGTCAACGGAGGCAATGTATTTGGATGAAATGCTTGATGGTGACGAGTTTAGAATGAGTTTCGGGAATGGTGCAGTCTTCAAGTAGAAAGTGAGGGTATTCAGGTTGGACAGGTTTTTTTAATGTAATTTTGAATGTGGTAGCAAATCCTGAATTAAATCCCGTTCCTTCGGATGGTCCATTGTACTTTCTTGGTATCATACATGTTTGGCACGAGGAAGGGCACTAGCGTTATGTTGGTCTGGCCCTAAGGGTCATTGTCTTAGGTAGATGGCATTCCAAAAATGCTACGGTCGCAATGGAAAGTAGTACAGTGGCACATCCCGTGAATGGTTCATCAACCCCAAAAAGTTTCCTATACAGCTTTCTTAATATTCACCAATATCTGTATCACAATATTCGCCCATGTCTCCAGCAAAGGACGTGCTTGCAGTTCGCGATGTTCCAGGTCCGAATCCCTTATTGGCTCTCTTCCAGGCCAGCCATCCTCTCTTCTGAAGACGGTGGACTGGCACCAGGTTTCTTGAAGAGGACAAAAAAATTGACTTGCACGTATTACCCTTTTATGCTGACCAGATTCGGTGCTGATGAAATCGCTTTATTGGTCAACGTTTGGAGTAGATCGTCGTCTCCAGGACCTGCGAATGGCTAGAGAACCTCCTGGAAGAGAAGACCATCCTTCTCGAGTTGATCAGTTTTATAAGCCCACTCAGCCTTCTGAACAGCAAGGTAAGTGAGCCATCACTGGCACTGTAATTTGTCATGCAAATCGGCTCCATCCACCATTGGCTCCTGGTGCGACCACTTCCCATGTGACTCCCCATGCAACTCCGATTCAGACGCGTCACGGTAACGTGGATTTCCCAGCCGACGCCATGTCGCTCTTGAGTCGCCTGCATTTCCAGTGAAACTGAACATCACAATGGCTAGGATAAACCTGCCAGCAAATGCAGAAACGGACCTTGGCGATCACCAGGAAACAGGGCAGTATAAGGTATGGAAATCATATGAAGTAAGGGAGACAGGACACATAACAAAAGCAGCTGACCTTGAAACTGCGTGGGATTAATGCCAATGAGAAGGTTGTCAAAAAATTTCAATGTTTGGAACGGATGAGAACAAGGCGCATGTTGAAAGCAAAATGAAAAAAGAGAAAACATAAAGGCATAGTCGATCAACCACCATTGCTGCAAACTTCCAGTCGTCTTCGACGTCTTTGTTTCTTTCTTTCTCACGAATTTCAGAAGCAATTGCCTAGGATAGACCCAAGTCAACAAACATTTCTTTGTTGATTGCAGTACAAAGGTGCAAACTCACAGACAAATGTTCGTGTATTTCATTAAGTACAAGCAGTTGGGCAACTTGTTCCTGGGTCACCTAGAAAAAAGATTTTGTATAACTTTACTATCCTAGACATTATGGTAAAAAAACTACGGCAAAATTCACGCTATCTAATTAAACTCAGCCTTCCCCCCCCCCCGTTCCTGATGTCCCTGCATCCGCAGTGAACAAGACTGTACCTCATTGATAGGAACGATGGAACGTTCTGGAAGTAAACGAGAACCCTTCCGCCAAAGGTGACGTCGCTCCTCAGCAGGCTGCTCCACTTCGTCAACAATGATCAGTCTGAACAGGGCCCTTTTCATTGCAAGAAAACTCTATTAAAAGGCATACTTACTTTGGTGGTACCGGCGGCACTATTTTCGATACGATGGATTCCACGGGAAGGTTTTTATCGTCTTTGTCATCCTCGCAGCCCTCTTTTATCATTCTCCTATCACTGGCTGTGTATCCTGGTCGATGCATCATCAATGCCCACGGTAGCCAGTTTAACATGATGCTACGAAACTGAAAATGCCTTCATTTCTCTTGAGCATAGATTGTGTGGCTCTTCTACGCAGTAATACATTTTTTTCTTTAGGATCGCCTTCATTTTCTTGAGCATGGATTGTGGTTCTCCTAAGCAGTAATACATTTTTCTTCCTTAGGTGTATAACACTTATTTGTCTTTTCATGTTCTCAATTTGTGGAAACACGTTTTCGGACCCAATAGATGTATTTACTATATAGCGGCTTGCTAGCATTTCAGGTCAAGTACCAAATTATCGTGCTGCCTTTGAGGTAAATATGGCTAGGAGGGAAGAATATTGGCTCGTGATCGCGCAGCAAAGGGCGCGCGAAAGGCGACACAGCGAAACCTAACATGCATCCCACATCCCAAGGAAGGAGTGGGCGTGCTACGTACTTTACTTAAAAGTGGCGTCGGATGCGTTTCATGGGTATTTCCATTTGAAAAGACAAGTGTTGCCTTATCCTGTGCGGTACAAGGTCATGTCGGCAACTGTTCCGAAACTGCAATATCCTTTCAAGAAGGAGCGATTTGCACAAATTTAAGTATGTACGTAACCATGGACTCCCCATCTCTGGGATATGAAAGTTACTGTAAGCTCTCCTCCAAGAACCGCAGCAAACAGCGGCCACAACTAACCAGGATTGGGTCAACTGCTTTCACCAGCAACGCACCTAACTGGTATTTTTATCGCTATGACTCCTCCTGAAGAGATAGCTGCTTATTTTTCTCCAGTTACTGAAAAACTTGTTTTCTAGGCAAATTGCAAAGCTGTTCTGCTAACAGCACTTATCTGTTGGATTTTGAAGTTATTTGCATTTTTTTCGGTTATTTCAGTTGGGGGCTCGAGCATTGGTACATATTTCATGATTTTATTGTCAATACGAGGGATCGGCGCTGACGTTGGGAGTATGTCGTGCACGTTCTGATTAAAGCGGTTAACAGGAGCCCTGATACGCGCGAATTCGGCCATTTCGCCACGTTTGAACTACATCGTCAACATCAAATCCCCTCCTTGATTTTTTTGCACTAGGAAAAATTGTTTCCACTGCCTTCAAAATCAAGTTCGTAGATTTTATGCGAGATGACTCAAGTCGTTCGTGCCGTGTTGCATGCAGCATAGGAGTCGTAAGCATGAAGTGGAAGGCTTTGAGTTGAAAGGAATTAGATCCGAAATTCAACGCAAATTAGAGCTGAGTTGTGCACTGCGTAAACACCATAAAAAGAGCTGTACGCTACGGCCATTCCGCTCAAGTATGTGTACAAATAATGCATATACCTCTCATAGCTTACCGGCGGAGCAACTTCAACTCACGCTCTAGAGCTCTACTCTCGGACCAGTACCTTCGCGCACCTTCCTCGCAGTGGTTGGAAAAGTCTTGATTCTCGTCCCAGAAAATACGTGTTCATGGAGTTTCAGCATGAATTGCTTACCATATCTCCCATCTCGTGCGAATAAGAGTTTCGATGATGAAAGTTCAACGCCAGCGTCGTGGCAACCACACAAGCAAGCACACGTGCACATACATAGTGCAAAAAACGCTCCTGAAAGTGGAACGGAGTGTAGTAAAAAAAAGAATTAAAAGAATGGTTGAGAAAAATCAACTGTCCACATCGCTGCTTATGCATAGTAAAAAAAGAAGAAAAAACCGTCACCCAAGACCCAGTTGTCGCCACGGAATATCGTGAAGGGACGCCACACGTGGTTTTGACGGCGGCTTTCTGTACCTCCTCCACACATGCTGAAATTCTCTTTCTTCTTGCAGCTGCTCCGCAAGGCCCGGTTGGTTGTGAAAAGGGAGCCTCCATATTTCTTGGCTGCTTGGCGCTGAGAAATACCCCATCGACTGTTGAAGCACTCGCTCAGCAGGCCCAATAACGTCTTGATGGTATTGCGAAGTCTACCCAACGCCTACTGATGTCTAATTGGTATTCCACCATTCTCAGTGATCTTAAGAACCTGCTATATAGGTCGCCGTGTCACTCCACGAGCACAAAGTACCCATCTGGCGTAGTACTCTTGACGCGATTCCCTGACGTGCTATTTTTGAGGTCATTTCATTTCCGTGTATTAGTTATTTTGCCGGATAACGTTATTTTGACGCACATTTGAGCGTTTCAGAACATTGCAAATTTTTTTGGTCAGAAACTTGGATAAAATTCTGTTGTGGTGAATGTGCAGGCGATTAACATACCTAGAAATGGTAGGGCTTCCGATGTGGGCGGCGACATTTCAGCAACATAATTTTGAAATATGCAAATGGACAGCATAATTGTGATCTCTAAAAAGGTGTGAGTTTTTATAAGATCTGGAGACGATGCTTGTTCTACACTCTGAAATTCTCTTTAGTGGAATATGTGCAGAATTCGATAATAAGCCACTCTTTACCCACTAGTGCCTGTGCTCAGAAGTTTGGGTCAGAAATCTGAGTGTCTAGAAACTTGTCCCCAAATGCAGTTTGACTCTCTTTAAACGCAGCAAAAATATCAAATCACCGAATGATTGCACCATGTTGTTTTTCTGAAGACGAATCTCACACTGGTTTTCCACGAAATCGCTTGGCGCCCACGCTATAAACGTCCGGGGACACGTACCAGTTCCGAAGCCAGGGCCTGCAGCGCGGGCTCTCGGAATGGTTTCGTGGCACGTAACCTCGTCATCCGGGCAGTTGATTAGGGCGGTCGTCAACGGGCCGCAGCGCGTGCCAGGAACTATTTGCTTTTTCCAGGCTAATTTAGTCATTTTTTCCACCTTGTGAAGATAAGGAGCTGCTAATCTGGGAAAAAGTAGCCAAAACAGTGAAAAGTTGGAAAAATGACTAAATTAGCCTGGAAAAAAGCAATTAGTTCCTGCACGCGCTGCGGGCCCAGGGTACAGCCATGGGGATGTGTCAAATGGCGGTGTGGGTACGACCCCCCCCCGAAGAGGGTCCAGATACGACCCCCCCTCCTGCTCTAACTGACAACCAGATGCATGTTCACCACAAATGGCTTCCTGAAATGGAATCTGGATTCTCGAAAGGCGCACTCTGCTCTAAAATACAGGAAATAAAAGGCTGTTTCAGCCTCATGCAATATGAGGCTGAACAACAGCCTCGCATTACCTACAATTTTGTCTTAGGATTCAAAATAAAACTCCTCGTTCGATAACTACCCTCGTCATCCGGGCAGTTGATTAGGGCGGTCGTCAACGGGCCGCAGCGCGTGCCAGGAACTATTTGCTTTTTCCAGGCTAATTTAGTCATTTTTCCAACTTTTCACTGTTTTGGCTACTTTTTCCCAGATTAGCAGCTCCTTATCTTCACAAGGTGGAAAAAAATGACTAAATTAGCCTGGAAAAAGCAAATAGTTCCTGGCACGCGCTGCGGCCCGTTGACGACCGCCCTAATCAACTGCCCGGATGACGAGGTTTATGTATGAAATGCAACTTGTACAAGGAAAGCACAATTCGAAATATCGACTAAATGTGATGCATTGATAGCTGAATGATGAAAAAAAATAGCCCCCAAGGTGAGCGTGTCAGGGCCCAGATGTGCAGTGAATGGTGACGGGGAAATAATGAAAACATGCACGACACAACAAAGCGAAACATGGAAAATACAAAAAATGCAGAGCTAAATGAAAAAAGGATAACCAGGCCGGCAGTAAATCGTTCCATACTTGGCTATTATCGATCAGGCTGCAGGGCGCAAGGCTGCGACCGCTTTCTTTGGAAAAACGTCATTGGAGCGCGGTTGTTGGACTTGCCAACGTCCTGGGGTCTGTTCGGGGGTTATATCTTTTTTAGGTGCGGAGCTTTTGAGGAATGGTGAGCAGCATGCAACGGCAAAGTTTCTACTATTGTGTATTCTACCTAGTTGCAAACTGAACAATCCCCCCGTTGGTGAAATATTCCGGATGGGTCACGGTTGCCAGGGTAAATCGCGAGCTGGTTTTCCAGTGATTCACACAGGACTGGCTTTCTTCAAACGCAATTTCATCAGGACTGAAGTCGTCCTTGAAACCCCTCCATCTTTTCTCTTTCCAATAAGCTTTACAGTTTTTCTGAAGACCCACTAGTTCAGGAGATATTTTAGATGGGTCACAGATGCGCCACCCTCTGACCCACCCGAAAAATTGACTCCTTATGTGCCATTGTGAGGATACACCTTCGGAAACTTCAGTGTGCCTTCAAAACACATATTTCCCTTCAAATGAGTGAAAGAGAAGCTCGGCTATCTCTTGATGTGTTGGTCCGTGCGCCGTGCATTAGGCTCCTACGCAGAGGTGGTGGAAAGGTGTAAATTCTAATTTCAGGTGCTTTTATCCATGCAAGCAGATGTTTGTTTAGGGTTTGTAAAGGACAACACGCACGAATCTGTTTGAGACGTATTATTTAGTCATCTACGTACTTACGAGTTCATGCTATAAACTGACACTTATTTATTTATTTATTTATTCTTGCTATATTGCTAATAAATCTTTTATTATTTTGTATTCCTATTTACATCCGGGTCTTCTGAAGCTTTCCGTCCGTTCCATTACCCTTAGCAATGACACCTTTGTACTGTTTGATGCCTAGCGAGCCTACTTTTGCGATACTCCCCACGTCCCCCGCGGCCAAGTACGAACCCATTCTTGGGGATTTCCCATGAAAAGAGGGCTGTTAAACGTAGCATTTAAAGCTGTAAAGAATACACTCATAATAAACTTCATTTTTTAAAACATCTTGACTTCCATAGCTCCACTCCCACTATCAACTGAAATGTCGAACCATTGCTCGGCTCTGAGTGACCCTTGAGATTACGACCCCCCCCTCTCCATCGGCCAGTACGACCCCGCCGCCCATGGGTTGACACAACGATGCTGTAGCCCTGTGGCGGCCCGTTGACGACCCCCCTGAATCACTGCCGCATGACGAGGTTAGAGTGGCCAAAAGGCTATGAAAAGAGGCCACTCAAAGGCCTCTGGCAGATACGACATTAGTCCCTTCGTTTGCTTGAGGCTTCATATCCTTCTGAAGAAAGTAATTGTTGGAAATAAGAGTTCTGAGGAGGAGGGGAGCAGCCACAGCAGGCAAACTCCTCGCTCAATGGCATGTTTCTGGAGATCCGTTTCCGACATGTTTTTCACCCTCTTTCGAACTCAATCATGTGGACAGCTTATGATCAAGTGGTCAAACTCCTCCTGAAGACGACTTTCGACTATAATCTGGTGGCATGCGTGTTTAGGTCGCTGCGAGCCAGGTTTGTTTTCGTGCCAATTACCATGATACTTGGTGGCTGGACAATGCACTCCCGGGACGACGAATCTTCCAGCTGACCATGAAGTGACCACTTGAAAAATATGGATTGGTACACAAATGACCTGGTTATTCGAGGTAGCGTGATCAAGTACAAGGGTAATAGTGTCTATCGGTCAGGTCAATTAGGGGCGGTTAGCCACAGAAGGTAGCGCCAGGCTGGGCGTCGAACATCTTCTTGCCAGATTCATACTACTCACGCAGAAGCACGTTATGGGTTCGTATTCTAGCCGAAAGCAACAGTTTTCCCAAACTACTAAAAACGAAGCTAGCAAAATAGATACACTCACGTAATGACATTTTCTCCCCAGCGTCGGGTGGTAAGGTAAAACCAATGAGAGTGAGCATGGTAATCAGAATACAAGGCAAGATAAGGTTGAATGCTGAAATGAAGGGCGATTGGAACGAAAATGTAAGGTGAACAGAAAGGATGAGAAAAATATTGGTCCGCGTACCGTAGTACAGTACTCTTCTGCGAATGACAAACGTGAAAACAATATCATAATAGGGTTCCGGACAGCACTGATAATGCTGGATGTTTTGAACAGCAGATGTCCCTAAAGTATTTTAGGTCGTTCCGTGACAGAACTTCCGTATATAAACATTTCCCACCACACGCAGGTTGAGTAATGGTTCCAGGGACACTTTGGAGATTGAGCTCTAGGGGCTGTTGAGCTCTGGGAGCTTGTTTAGTCGGCCTTACACTGGCGCCGTTTTGCCTTTACCCCACAATCCGACCCCTCTCCTAATGCGGCTGAGACACGACATCCGCAATATTCTTCTCCCTTGCTCTTATGGATCGGACTGTGTGGATTGTGTAATGAAAACAGACGAGAAATGGCACCTACTACTCATGTAGGCGACAACGGCTCAAGCGGAGAAGAATCGTGTGCCTACGTTTTGACTGCTGAAAAAAAACCATGTTGTGATGCTGGTGGAATTCCAGCGGAGTCATTTATTGTGAGCAGCTGACGTAGCGTTCTATAATGCTATGGACTGCTGCGAACATCCAGATGGAATGGCAGCTCCGGTGAGAGACAAACAGCGAAAATTTCTCGGCTTGTATGACAAAATGGTTCCTTACATCGCGAAGTTTACTTATATGAAGGAGCGCAGTGACAACTGGGTTGTTTCCCTCCACCGTTTCAAGCTTACACTGTTGTTCGCATTCGTATAGCCCTTTCTGGTGCTCGTTTTCTGAAAGGACGATGTCGCTGCGGTGTGAAGGTGACCTGACGTTCAGTCGCTCTTCGATACGGTTCTACGGATTTAATAACGGTTCTGCAAGGAGGGCAACTGCAAATTGCCCGTACGTTGCCGATGGAGGTACAACAGTCGTACATACTATTAATCCGCCTAAGTTTGTCTGTGTGGCTCGTTTGTGTGCTGTGTGTGATGTGTGTTGTAAATTCGTTTGTGTGTCCTGCTGCCATGTGTGTTTGACCGGAAATTTGTTAAACTCCTTTTATTCATCGGGCAAGAAGTTTCAAACTCATGGATTGATGTAGGAGTCGTCGGGCAGGACCACTATTGGATGAGTGCAGGAGTGATAAGCACGTGGCAAGATTTCCATAGGTGCCTTCGAAAGCGAGGTAAGATACCATAGGGGCCTTAGAAAGCGAGGGTCACCAACTCCATAACGCGCGTCACAGCAATACTAGGACTTTGATTCCAAGAAGTAAGATAGGGGGCAAGATGGGAAATTATTGTGTGGCAGACAGTCGATAACCAGCTAAATCAATATACCATAAGGGTCTTAGAAAGCGAGGGTCACACAATTCCATAACCGTGTGCTCAGCAACGTATGGAGCGTTGGTCCAAGAAGTCAGCACAGGGGGTCATGGATGGGGAACCTTTTTATTGCTGGGTGACATTGACACAGCTACAGCTATAGCAGAAAATCCACCAGAGCTGTAGCAACACTGGGAACTGCTCCAGCAAGTAATTCAGAGGTGCTTAGGGAACATTAAAGGTGGGAGATAAATTCTGA